CGAAGACTTTCACTCCGTCCGTCCGGTCCGTGACTTATGATTGATTAAACTTTGCTAATTCTGTGACTTATGATCGATCGAAATTTGCTGTGCACTTGATTGGCATAATCTTTTTCTTGCATTAATCGATGCTATTTTGAGTCACATATAAGCATCAGAGTAAAACTTGTAAATTGACTTGCTTCCTGTGTATCAAATACACGTTCGCTGTGCACTAACTGTGTTCTTGCTTACGTAGCTGGGAGAAGGCTACTAGTGCTCGTGGCGTCCAATCTGTGCTGTGATCGTACGCGTGAGGCTAGACGATTAGTGTGGCCGTTGAGGTACGTGTGTTCCTCGTGTGTCATCGTGTGATATCTTGTTGTGTGTACATTGTGATCAAACGAGATCTGGACACAACAGTATTAGACATACTGAATTTGCAACCGGTTTCTGAATTAGATAAAATCTAAGTAAGTGAACAGCAGCCTCTCTAGAACTGCGATTTTCACACAGTATATTACCGTCTAACTAGTCAGGCTGGGTCTGGTTCAAAATTCCGGTTGTGTGGATCTCAGAGACAAATTCCTGATATGGCTAGGACAAGCGGAAAACATTGCAGCAAAAATGCCTAATTGATTGTCATTATTTTATAATGATTATTGTGACATATATTCTGGATTCAGACCATCAGGAACTGTAAACACAAACCAAAAATTCCCCTGGAACGTGGCCTAATAGCTATTCAGTGAAATTTTGTAAACTTAATGCAGTGTCGCGGCGAAGATAGACTTGTTCTACCCAGTTAGTTGAGTGCTTGAGAATACTCCACCGAGCAATAAAAAAGCCAGCTCTAGAAACATGCTCTGTTGATTTGTTGGCGTTCGTTGCCGGAAAATAAAATATCCGGCCGATGGAAGACGTCCAAATGTGTTGAAGTACTGCTTACACTTTGGAGTAGTTTGCATGTACCAAGAATCGGTTTATTGGATTCCCAAGGATTTCACTAGTGAAGCGAAGAATTTACTTTTGTCACTACAAGAAATTATCATCTACAGTTGGACTGCTCCAGTAATTATCCTGTGGGAATTCTAAAGAACTGTTTCAAATAAGACATTTTGTTATATGTATGTCAATTTACGAATACCCTCACCATTATTCGTAATAACTAACTCTCCTCGTTCCAGCACTGCCTTGTAAATTTGTAACACCAGAAAAGTTTTCCTTCTAACAGGAGGCCAAAGAAAACGGGAACTTCAGTGAGCAATGTGAAGCTGTTTGTGGTGTACAAATTATTCTACCATGGTCTGCTTAGCACACAGTCTGTCCTCAGACATGTGTATACATATACAGAAATGGAGAGACAAAGTGACTGCAGAATCCGTAGATGTTGCGGTCAAGGTAGAACGTGCACCGATGCTAGGATAACTTAACCCATAGCACAACGGGAACGAATCGAACCAGCAAAAGAAGCACAGTTTTAATCCGGTCTGGATCAGTTACTGAGGCCAATGAATGCGTCTTCTAAAACAATCAGTTGGTTCAATATCAAAAGATGGACTTTGGAGGATGATAGCACTAGAGTATGTCATTTGTTAATTGAGCAGGATTGCAAACAACACCCAAAATAGTCTCTCTCAGTATGGACCAACCTGCTGACCCGTCTCAAATCGAATCAAAAACATTGAGAAATATATACAAAGATAAATAAAGAGAAGGGTTAATGTTAACCTCAAAAAGATTCCCGTTTTGGGTGCATAAAGCTAATCTTAAATGGACTTGACTTGAAGAGAGACCGAAAGGGAATTTAGCGAACGGATGCGAGGCAGTGTCACAAAGAGAGAGTGTCATCGCTAGCATGACTGACAGTTGATCAATTTATCATGCAAAAAGATGATAACACAAGTTACAAACCAGGACGTGGTTTGTTTGCTCTAAGCAGGGACAGCGCTATTTGGGGATTTATAACTTGATACAAAATTTGATGGCTATAGCTGTTAGTTTATTGATTTTAGGGCAGAGGAGGGAATTTCTTTTGCGAACTAAAGACTGATAATCAACAATTCTATCATTTCGGAAAAGGAGAACATGTTCATAGAGCTACCGGAAAAGACCGACCCTTCCCTTGTGATCAAGACTAGTGAGCAAATGAAGTGGTATAAAATCGAAAAAGTTTTCAAAACGAGATTTGTGAAAATAATGACAGACAGGTTAGGAGATGTGACCCAAAGGTGAAAAAATTGATTAATCGAAGAGGGAATTTAAGGGATGTATAAGCAGCAAGTCTTGTACAATATAAACTTTTATCGCCAAACCCCGTTACTAATAGGATGTTCACCGCAGCTGATGGATTATTACAAATAGTTGGTTTTACAAATATGAATGCACATATACTAACTTGGGTGTTCGTATCAAGCACGTTGCCCAAATTAAATGAAAATGTTCACGGAAATGCATTAAAAAACTTCACATAATGATCGGTGAGTTGAATAGAGAATGGTTAATGGAAAACATTTTGCTGGCCTACCACTATTGCGGGGCTAAATTGCAAAGCTGAGCATGCTATTCAAAGAAGTTTTCTTCTGTCCTTCAGATAACACTGATGACGAATGCACATGGACGCCTAAATATCATTTTCTATCAAATCTAATTGCTTAAACTGTTACATGCCGCTCCCAATCTATTCAAGCTCTACGTATCCAGTCACTGTTCGGTGTCATCGTAATCAATCAAGACAAACTAGATTTCCGGGGTAAACTTACGGTTCATCGTGGACTCGGTTTATCCACTCTTCTGCACTCTGTGCTTGGCGAGCCTTCTCCAAGGAGAAATAGTCAGACAACACACGTAACGATAAAGTAATGGGTGTTTGCTTCCATCGACGAACTGCCGAACGCGGTCGAAAAGGTCCTTTGATCTCGGGCAGTTTCGATTCCGAGTTGGTGAAGGATTTCCGATCAGCCATTGGCGTCTCCACTGCACTGGTCGGCGGTATCCGTTTAATCTCTTTCCATTTCACTCTGGACGGAATGCATTCCTGAGCCAACATTTTACCAGCTGCCCTCAGCAAGCCTTCTCTTGGGTCAGGTATACTGGTTGACAAAGAAATCAGAAAAGAAACGAGAAATACACAAGTCAATTCTTCAATAACAGCTAATTATTTCCTCTCGGTCATCAACGCTGAGGTCAGGATATGGTTTTTTCTGGTTTATTTTTATTGTTTTAGAAAGAATCAAACGTTTTGAACTTAATTTTCTATACTTGAAGGTATTTGTGAATGTATTTTCTGAGTTACATAATATCATTTTTTGTCGAATAAATCATCCAAACGATAGTACTGTTTTCATTATCCTTCGAAAACTGCCAGGGAGTGAGTAATCTGTGTAGTAGATTCAATAGTTTATCAATACCGTAACTGCTTTCAAAAACAACTTTGTTAAGACCATTAAATGATCATTGGCGTTGACTGTGCTAGCCGATCTGGGGTCTTGAAGATATCACTCCTTGAGGATAAACACATGCTTTTCACTTACTCCATTTCTCAACAAACGAGTATATAGTGTAAACTCATCGATCCAATCTAAATCCAAGTAGATATCTAAGAATACAATGATCTTTTGTCTGTAGAAAGCAACTATTGGAGGCTGAAGGTCATTTGATCGTTCCATTCACAACCGGCGTGAAACACAGCCTGCTCCTCATTGTTCTACTCCTCACGCGTATTATAAATAATAAATGTCTTTTTATTTACCGAATATACAAATGTATAGTGAACTTTCAGGAAGGGAGCTGCGGCCATACAAAAGCTGCCCGGGGAAATACAGAAATAGAGAAGATGGGTGGCAGCTGAGCGGTTCGAACCCGGGAAGTCCGGGGCACAGTTCAATGACCTTACCGCTTGGCCATCACCGCCTGCGATGAACGAAGAAGGTTAAAAGCGTTGACTCTATTAGGATATGCTTATAGACCCGTTGGTTGACGCAGCCACCCGACCGGGCCTTTATGAAGATGGAACCAACAACCAATCCCCCCGTCCACGAGGAATGAGCCTGCTTGTGGATCCAAACTGTTAAGAACAGAAATTTCGGATTTACACTCATGTGTATTCTACCCTTTTAAATTGAACTGAGCAAAGACAACTGAAAGGTCTGAGAGCTTGAATCTCCTTGCGGATTTCTGTCGCGGAAGATGAGCCTGTCAAAATAGACCATGGGACGGGTACCGGGATAGCTGTATGGGAAGCCGATGCAGGTGACCAGCTAAATTGTCCCTCGAAATGCTCCACCTGGCGAAAAAGACGTCGCTGTTGATTGCGATTGGTTGGACCGTCAGTTTCACAGATAATTTTGCTCTCGAACAGAGCTTTCCTACCTCAGATTTGAATGAGACGAAACATCTTTTGAGAATTTTCGACGGCGGGAGCATGTTCCATCTCTGAAGCATTTTGAGACCATTACGTTTAACTGTCTCTGTGCAGGCTTGCATTGAGTTTACGCCTCGTTAGGAGTTGCGCTTTCTTATGCTCGTTTCCGGTATGGATTAATCGGTGTGTGTCAAGACCGCTCAGAAACTCAAAGGAAATCTAGTAAATCACAACAAGATGTACCAGGCTACAGCTCAGGTTAGTGTAACATGATAGTTTCAAGTGCGGTCAGTTACAGCATTTCATCTACAACGTTTTCAAAGACGGTTAGACAGGTTGAGGCAGCTTATCGTAGTCAAAGCACTACTTTTTCGTGCATCTGAAACTACCATCGAAGAACATGGACAGTTTAAAGCAAAATAAACCGTGGTCGGAGTTAAGGGCAGTTTTGTAATAAGATTGATAATCCTGCATGCAAACTCGCCGTCTAAAGTTTATACTGACGTGGTTTATCCGGGTCCGTTGCTGATTCAAGGAGAGCGGCTGCAAAGTGGAACGCCAATAATTTTCAAGTTTAAGGTTCACAATGACCGCTCCCCATTTTCCGATCATCAAGAAACTAGTCCAAAAGATCCCCTCCACAGTGTCTTGTTTTAAGACTATAGAACTACTCTAGCATTCATATCTCCCGCTTAAATCAAGATATCACTAGAATAGCTTTATGCCAAAGGTCATGCAACTTTGACTGCGTGTGGGCCGCAGTCCTTGGATGTGTATATGGAGAGGACAAAGAGATCGCGCCTAGCAGGGTGTTCACTACTTACTTTGCACAAACCTCTATTTCTTACTGTGTGCAACCAACGGTCCACTAGTCGTGCGGCTCCAGTTCTCTCACTGAGAGCTACTTCAAAGCCCACAAAACCAGAAGCCGCAACCTCATGGTTCACTGAAAGGTATAAGTGTGACTTTGCGTATTGTTGAATAGTGTTGTTAATAGGATGTTAAAATTGGAAACATATCGAGGTCTAGGGCGTAAGAGCTAAGCACAGCGGTTGCCTCATACGGTAAATTTGACTAACTTGTGGGGGAATCGAGGATGGAGAAGAAGATTATCTGGCGGAGAACGATTTGTTGCAACATGAAAGCTAGTCAAAGTAGAGCACAAGAGAACGAAGATAAGAATTCCGACGATTGTGAACATTCTTGGGTGTAATGGAGCCCGGATAAAGAGGGTGTGTGCACGATATAGCATTGGGGCTATCGGTGAATGGTGCAAAAACCTCGAGTTTCAGGATTGGAAAGTTTTTATAAACGTACCCTTTGAGAGGCTATTCTGCTACCCAATCATTCGGCACAGAGTGTGCCTTGCTCGAGAATATGTCTTAGCCTTTTGGTCAATGAAGCGCAAACTGCAAGAGAGCAGTCTTGTTCCAGGAGAGCTAGTGGCCACTGGCATGATTTATTTATATTCACTATCTCTCCCGGTAAATAGAGCTCAACAACGGGGCCCAGACTATGGCAATAGAGCATCAAGTGGGCAACACACTATTTCTTCCGGGGGGTTTTCGTCAAATGATCGACACATCAAAACACAGAGGATAGTGAAATTCGCACGAAATTAATTTTCACGAAATACATATAAAAAGAGGTGATTATCCCAAAACAGATATTATGAGAACCAATTCGCATTTCCCCCGAGTAGAAAAACAAACTCATATGTTTAGTATGCAACAGTCAAAGATTTCAGCATGACAGTGGTAAAAACTCCTTCTTGGCGCTTCGGTTACGTCTATTTTTATTTATTTTCAACACGTAGCCAATTACATAGAAATAGGCAATTGTGCCACAACAAGAGAGATCTATAACATGTGCCTATTGATTTTGTGGGTATGTTACTTCTCGGTTGTTCTGACCTATGGAGGGTGGTGTGGTTTATACTTTTCCTCTTGATTGGTTTGGAATCAGGGTTGTTTAACCAACTCCCCTAGGTGAACTTCAAATGGTTCCCCAACCCGGTTAAAGCCCCGGATATCGGCTTTTCATTTTCTCCCTTTGGTACGAAAAACATCTCTGTGCGTAGGGCTTGTTCGGCATAAGCTGTTTGAGACGCTTGGTCGTATAGGAGCATTTCTCTAGGAGTTAGGTAAGGGTGACCAGCCGCGACCCGAGACACCTAATTCCGACCATACTGAGGCTTTTTCTGTTTTGTTAGTGTACAACTTGTGATGCATTCCTAGCCAATTAGCTGCAACGAGTGTTTTTAGCGTTGAATGACGTTCCTCGGAAGTGAGTGATAAAACAAAATGAGCTCAGAACAAGATTTGATCTAAGACGTTGCATGCATGATTGTACACAGACTGCGGGATTGGAGCATTAACTTAGATGTACTGAGAATTATTTCATCATTGAGAAAACGAGTCAGTGAGTGAAAAATTGTTTTAGGATATTCCTAGTCATGCTCTTACATATCACATAGTGGAGGAAAATCTTACATAATGGTAGCCATTGGCTCAATTTAAGGTCATTAATCGGAGGCAGAGAGTAATGGAAGAGTATGCGTGTAGGAATTTTTCGTGTGTTAGTTGATGTGACCTTTCCCTACTCGGTTCGAGTGACAAGTTATGTTTGTCTTGGTTTTCACACCCGGCCAATGTAATATATATATATATATATATATATATGTGTCGATCAAACTCGTGCAGCATCACTTTGATTTTTGAAATACATTTCAGTCTCCAATGTCATACTTGTATATTGATGGCTCTGGGTAAAGCATACTTATTCCTGATTTTATCTCCCACTTCTATATCCTTAGTTCTCTCCTATTGTAACATGTAGCCGTAGCGCTGCTATTTTGATTTGATTGTGAGTCGTGTGCATGTCTTTCTAGACCTTTGGTTCATGTTGGTTTGTTTCCTGTACCTTGCAGATTGATCGTAAAGGCCATCTGGAATACCACGAGCACTATTCCTCGGTGATCCCCAGGAGAGTCCAGGAGCACAGGTGATTGGTCGTGTTAGCATTCGTATATCAAGTGCCCGACCTTGGAGATAGATCACGGGTATTCGTGTATCAAATACCTACCCGAGTGTATCTCACGGCTAAAAGGTGACAAGCCACATAACACCGTAAGCTCAGAGTGCCGTTGCGCACTACACTATCGCCGTTTGAATCAGCGTGACTTTGAGCATTGCGATAAAATTTGTAGTGGTTCAAAATTTACAGCTCAGATTTAGAAGATATTTTAAGCGAAGCAGCATGGGAATTTGTTAATTTTATTAAATGATTCCTGTTCCATGACAGTGTTTATTAAGTTGAGCCAATGTATTCTGGTTTGCTTTTCTCTTTTCATTCAGTGTACAGTAAATGAGCAAATTAATGAAAATATTTTAACTTAAATAAATTGATAAATTACTTGGCTATAGCCAAACTACGCACGCATTATCTACAATACTGAAAGAACAGAAAGATAGTCCAAGAAACAAACAAGTTGATCTTCAAAAATGCACCTTGAGGTGTGCAGCTCGTTGAATAAGCATTTTGTTGTTACCATACCCAAACCGGATGAAAAATTCGAACGTTTTTGGCATATAATTGAAGCCTAGAGGCAACTTAATTGAGAAGCACATATATCCGATGATTCACTTAGTGTCTTGTGGAAGTGCTTCGATGCGAGCATAAGTTCGATTTATAACATATTCAACGAAATTTCTCCATCAAGACATAAACCGAGAAAGAAAAGCCGATCATATCAAAGCAAGACGATGGTTGTATTGGATCGCAGCGGCAAAGACTTGCACACGACCAACATGAAGGATAGTGCGGGCCGATAAACCGTTTTTTCCTCACGTGATATAAAGCCCTGATTGAACACCCAACCAAGCAGAGCATGCACTGATTTTACCAACAAATTCAAATCGTGCCGCCCGTCCATTTGGAAATGGGTTTATCGCACTGGTGACCAACGAGTAATTCCGCATATGGTGAAAGCTGATCTGTTGAGCTAGTTTTCTAATGAATTTCGTTTTACCTGTCAAAAGAAGTATATATCAATCCCGTCTGACAAGTTAGGACGGAAGCAAATACTGAGCGCTTTGTTATCGGTCTCCTGTACACGCCAATCTGGATATCGCAAAATGTTTTGCACTGCAACTCTTTAAATGCATTCGCGGAAGTCATATTTTTGACAGATGAAGGTTGGTATATCCTTTCGCTTGTGGTTGGTAGTAAAAACTGTTAGACCTAATTAAGTATTATTTTTTTTTACATTTATACAGTCTCTGGAGGGGTCAAGTTTAATGTCAAATTCATTCAAAATACCGCTCAACAGCTGGGATTCTAATTTAATTGAAAATTTTTACTGTATCAGAAACAGGGATAAATCAGCTATTTCGACATTGGTCGTCAATGGTTAGGGTGCGGGATATATTAGAGGAGGATCTGGCAAATTCTGTTTGGCAGTCAACTTGGTGTACTCCATGCTAAAGCGACTGCCTATAGTGCTCAAAAATGAAGAAGAGCAAATGGAACATGGACGAGATGAAAGTACAATACCTGTATGAAGTCTGAGTCATTTGAATAAATAAATATTAGTTACGTTTTCTACGGTGACTTTGTTAGTTCACAAGTGATGCACCGACAACCATTGTCAAAATCGAGAAATTGTACATTGTAATGACATGTGGCTAATAGAAGTTAAGAAATAAGTGGATGTTATATCAGATATGTTGAGTGTGATGTGGAGCAATATCATATTCAATCCCGTGAATGAGGCTGGAAAAACAAAGCATTGAGAGGAACAAATGTGATGAAAATCAGGATGTTGCACGAGTTTGGTCAATACCCGCATATAGTCCACAACTAAAATTCAGATTGTTACTCACTCCGGTGGATGGATGGCAGGATTTTTGTGTTTGTCGTGGAACGTCATTGATGAAATTCTGTTGCTCCATGCTAGGTCATCCTTCAAACATAATCAAATTTAGCTAAATAACCTAAAATGATTGTGTTCTTATTGAGTAAAAAATGAACGGAAAAGCTTTGAGTCATCCAGACACCTCTTCTCAATGCATCGTACTACGTGGATGGTACTCACTAATTTCTCCTTGTGTTGTAAATCCCGGGTTGACTGAAGGTGGAAGCACGATAGTGATTCGCTTTGGCCCATTGCCACAGACGGTCCTTCGTTTCTGTCTCCAACTGTACTTCCATCTTCTCTTGACTGTCCGCCTCATATTCGGCCAGACGCTCCCTTTTTAAAAAAATGACGGTTATCATGGTCCCCAACATTCTTTTAGCCAATCTTACCTGATGCATTGCCCCACCTCTTTCAGGGCTTGTAGATAAACGTTCCGAGCGTAAAAATTAAACTTGTACTTGCGTGTTAAATAGCCACGCCATGCACTCTGAATCTATGTTGGTGATGGGGATTTTGAGAGCAGGCGAGCATAAAAGAATCTGGTTACATGACGAAAATACTGATTACCTTTGTCGCACATCGATGATACATTTCAATACGCAATCGAATTACTGCTTCGCTCAAAACCTTGCGATATTCACGTCGACCAAGGAACCCGCGCCATGTCTTTTGTATTAATATAGTATGAGAATGAAGAATTCTACAAATTGAACTGGAGTTACAACTAGACACATACTTCATGTAACATCGAGTTCGAATTCCTCGGAACCATGCCTGAATTTTCACGGCTGCTTGGTATTCCTCAGTTCGTAATGCGTCTGAGTTTCTGAATAGTATTATTTTCACATATGAACTAGGAACAACTTGTAAGTAGTGCATAACTCGTCATTAAAATTTGATAAATAGTTTCCGAGTAAGTCTCGGTCTGCCATAATTATTTAGCTGAAACGCAAAGAATTAAAAGCTTTTGTTAATAATCTGATTCTAAAAATCTATTCTAAAAGTATGTTCTCAAATCGTTGGAAACACGTTTGAAGGCATTCTGTCCATAACAGTAAACATTTTAGAAAGCAAACACTGAAAACTCTGAGCTTGACACAACTGTACAATTTGGTTTAAACTGTTTAATCAGTTGCGTACGTAATAAATTTGGTTTGTTTGACATGTTCATTATCTTGTTCTCCACTTGATAATCGGTCTTGGTTATCAGATACTGCCGCTGTTACTGTTGTACAGTATGGGGTCTGTGACCAGTCACACTGAACATGTGCCTGCAACACTCCGTCAGCGGTTCTACTTCAAGAGCATTGAAAGGGTGTATAATACAATTCGAAATATGACATTGCATCAGGAACGATATAGATTACACAAACAAATCAGCATAGTTCCTGATCGGTAAACCGATCCTTGTGTAAATTCATACTTTGACTGAGGACATAGATTGCATATGCAACTGTGGCTTGCAGTTTGAGGACCAGTTACGGGATCGTTCAATTGCCGAAATTATTCATCCAAATTTACTATAAAAGTCACTAACAAAAAAATTAATCCAAGTCTTCAGCACACAAAATATGTGGGGTCTTGTGTTAGCTGAGCTTGGCGTTTAGATCGTAAACGTTTCATCATCAGCCGAGGTGACATCGTCAGTGCGTTGTCACCTCGGCTGGTGATGAAACGTTTGCGATCTAAACGCCAAGCTCAGCGAACACAAGACCTCACAAACCATTAACCTGAGCTACAAACCACACCCATATTCAAATCTGTTGAACACACAAAATATTTATGAGCGATATTGAGATACTAAAATCGATCGGGTTCAGTTTAAACGGCAGATTTACAATTTCAAATAAATTATCAAGATGAAAATCAAAACCAAAAAGGCATCATACCTGAAATATTTTATTAAATTGTGTATTATCACCTATTAAAAGTTAGAAGAATACAGATGATAGTTTCGGTTGTATTTACCCATTTTCTGTTCATGTTGACAAACCATATGACTTGCCAAAGGCCTGCTTTATCGTAATAAAAATAACTGACACAAGTTTTGTCGCTTAAAGAATTGCAATTAAATCATTGTCAGATAAATCTCATTTAGAACGTAGTTACTCCAAACCGTCCTTACCGAGTTCATCGCAGAAATAGTTTTGTATCACATGCACACTAATCACTCTCGCAGGTAACAAACATACTTTTATCGTTGGCGGAGTAAGTGTGAAATCCGTGTGAAGTTCACACGACCAGATTTATTTGGATTTTTTGTTCTCTGGTCCCAAATAAATCCAGCTTTAATTACCCTTTTATTTTGTACTGTACATCCGCATTCACTTCTTGATTATTAAGTTAAACGAAATTATTTTAATTGTGAGCTTTTGCGTTTATGTATTTAACATTTGAAAATTCGATGCTCTAGCAAATCAGTTGCCAGTGGTTACCTTGGTTTTTCATCTCTATATTATTTAATCCTCTAGGCATCTTAGGCATTTTGTAGTCGAATCCCCTGATGTTTTTCATAATCACTTGATGTATATCAAGGATTTAGTTTTCGTGCATATTATGGTTGCTAAATTAGCAAATTCTAGTAGGAGACAACTACGGTGTGGTGTGGTATCACGATCACCTTACGGATAAGTGATTTACTCACTAGTTAAACGCATAATTTGGATGTTCTGCACTGCCCTGTGGTAGGGTAAGCACTGATCAATAAACTGACAATAAGTAGAGGAAGAGGACAGGAGCACACGAGACGTTGTTGAGGTGAACGATTTGAGTGTACAAGTGAGATAATGAGAAAATACAAGTTGGGGTTACAGAGATAATAATCAAGAGTTCAGTATGGGGTCAGAAAATATTGCTTAGTGCGATCTTAGACTATACGACGCGCTGGGTCTTCAATATCTAAGCCGCAACCCTTTTTAAAACACTACAACCCTGATGGAAAACAAATCAGCTCGGATAATCTTGAGAGCCCCGGGAGATTAACTACTTTTCGCTCCATCACTCTTCAGTGATGGTTTTTCTTTCCTACTGAATAGTAACTTCTCTGGTCATGGAATTCCGTTCCTAATAGAGAGACATGATCGGGACTTTCAACTAACTAAACGGCACATTGGATACGGATTCTTTACTTTTCACTGGTAATGGCAATTTAGTAACATAGGGACACTCAATAAAGCTGGCAAATACGCTTAGTGCTGCATCCCTAGCTGGGGCAATCATCTTAATTGTAAATGAAATAATTTACACTTCTGCTATCCCTGACTGTAGGAGGCCAGTCAAAATCATACCAATTCCTAAACCATTCAAATCTTCTATCCTCTCCAAACATTTTCTTCCCATAGCGTAAATATCTTCAGCTTTTAAGTTGACTAAAAGGGCTATCCTCAGACGTATTCACCAGTCTATAAACATTCTCAATCATCCTTAACAGTTTACTTTCAAGCCTAATGGATCCCCTTTAGACGCAGTCTCCATCCTTACTCATGTTATCACTAAGTCTTTAAATAACTCTGTAAAGTTTGTCCGGTGTTTTTCCTGACTATTCTTCATTTGAATTCCTTGTTCCATCAAAAGTTGTTAAAGAAAATGGAATTGTTTGAATGCTTCAGGAAATTATTAGCTTGGCTATCCAAATATTTTACTGATAGAGAACAAACCACCAGACATGCAAGGACTTTATCTAAACTCTTAGCTAAAAACACCGCAGTGCGTCAGGGAGCTGTACTGTCTTCAAATCTATTTTCCACAAACACTTTTTCTTTTCTTTTTCATTTTCATTTTACTTCCTTTTATTGGATTTGCAAAGACAATTTTCAGGAAGGGGGAAGCGGCCAATCAAACGGGCTGCCATTCAACACACAATAAACAAAGTGAGGTGGTGATGGTGGGATTCGAACACGCATCCCCGGGGTGACGTTACCGCTGGGCCAACACCGCCCGGCTCGTGTTTTGAAATATGCAGATGATTTTATGCTGTGCCAACCCACTTCTTCATCCGCCGATCTAAGCTCCTTCATCGACAATCTTGAACAAATTCAATCATTCTCCTCCTCATCGTAGCTAACCTTAAACCGCAGCAAATGTGCTGAGTGTTTATATAGTTTTTCACGCTCTTCAATCCGAAAGAGATCACAATGATAAATAACGATCCTTTATCTGAGCTGAACTCTGTCAAATATCTTGGTGTAACTATGGATAGCAATCTTCGTTGATCAACTCTCATCTACAACTGTGTTTGTAAACCGCGGCGCCTACCATTTTAAATTCAAAAGCTCAAGCATTTTCAAGCCCCACAGTCAGTTATTTCTACTTTTGTGTATCAGTGTTTTCCCCCATCTTACTTTAGTGTTCTTTAGTTATTTTTCCTGGCTTACTCAAACAGGATTTTAAAGTATTATGCCGCGGTCTAACTTATTAGCCACGTTTCCTCTATCCCCGCGAATGAGTCAGCTGTGAAATTTCCAAAGTATCATACAATTTCTTGTGTGAACTTGCGGAGAGGGTTCTCACAGACCCTGACCACCCATTTCATGCAGAGCTGAAACGTTGTCGTTCTCATTTTTCTACAAGCTCTCAATTCCACCAAATCTAACCTCGTATACACGCTTACCAAAATTCACCTTTACCCTATCTTGCACGTTTACTCACAAACAAAGAGAAGGTAACGAGTGAACTATATCTTGACAATGAAATGTCCCTATGCCTCTTACCATTTTCCCCGTTAAATATGTTCTCTCTGACAGTTGGCGTGTATAGCCTTTTAAATAACGTGTAAGCTTCAGTGCCTGCAAAACAATATAGGTTTGAGATCCTTCGGTTATTCCTCACAAACTGCGTAGGGAAAACCTGTAAAAACAAACATGGTCAGCTTAACGCATATTTGTATGGCAGTTGGTTGTCAGTAGTCCTTGAGCGTCGGCTTCTCACACAGCTATTCCGACGATCGTTCCATGGTCTGTCTCAACAAACCCACCTTGTGAGGCGGAAATCTATAAGGAGATTCAAGCCTTGGGACGTCACAAAGCGCCGGGGTCCGATGGCCTTCCCCAAGGTCTATTTAAAGATGGCGGAATAAAGCCTGTTATAGAACTAAAAGTTCTGTTCTCTAAAGTTTGGAACACTGAACAGGTCCCCTCTTCGTGAGGGGAATTGATTTTCGTCTCCATCTTCAAATGTGTTGTGCTTAGACTAGACGTACGAATGACACGAACGACTCTTGCTTAAACCCCTACGATAACGCAGATAGAGAACACGGCTTCAGATAACAGCTTGTGTATTTTCCTGATTAGGTATCGATACGCAAATATATAGAAAAAATCGCGAGAACGGCGCAGTGACGCACCAATCAATCAGATTTCGTCCATGACATATCGATTGATCGATTGGGCAAAGATTAACTGATTCGTTCGAATCGGGCGCAGCTTGTCTAACGCGTTGCGAGCGTGCGTGTGGTCTACCTCGGAGGCGTGAGCGATCGGACGGGTTGCTTAAGCTCCGTCCTAACAAAAAGGGCCAGTGTAATGACTGCGCCAATCATAGAGGTATAAGCCCTATCTCAATAGCATCAAAGCTGTTAATGTCCATCATTCGTTGTACATTGTACACTAAGCGTACTAGGAGCACTAGGAGTATGCTGGGTTTCGCAACGGTCGTGGATGCATCGATCGAATCTTCCCCCTCCGACAGATGCTAGAGCACTGTCATGCCTATCAAAGACCAACGATCATTGTATTCCGATACATCCCCGCGATCTTCGACCCTGTCGATAGGGCC